TTCATTTTATAACTTTCTTCGAAAATGCCAAAATCTGTTCAAATCAGTAAAGCTTTTTCTTTGTGTATGGGTAGCTGTGAGGGAGGGTGAGGAAAACAGCTGAGAAAATTTTTGCAAAGTCCACTATTATATTAGTGAATATTTGCTGCATGGTGGGATGTGAATAACATCGATTTTCAAAACACATAGAACCTGCTAATTCTAGGGCAAAGTACTTGCAAAGGAAGAGACTATATGTTTGGAAACAATAACCTTCCTAGAGCACCTGCGGACCAGACATTCAGTTGCTCCATCAACTATCCTCAGGCAATGACAATAGGAACTACTTACTCACTCTTAATTGTCCCTTTCAGTTCCTGCAACTAAATGATGGTCACTCATCAGCTTAGAGATGAGTCTGTGTCACAACCATGTTGAACTTGCAAAGCAGCGTGTTAAGATGGAGTCAAGGGAGGACAAGAACAGATATGCAAGATGGTAAAATCATAATCACCCACAAGGAATTATGAGCATGAAATGAGTAAAAGTTCCATTCTAGAGAGTTATTGATAAGTTGGGAACAAAAGTCCATAGCCAGGGCTGTGGGCACAAGTTGGAAAGCAAACTTTAGTATAAGGGCTGGTTGATTTGGAGCACCTGGAGTCAGCAAACAAATGTAAGTATGTCTAAGATACCTGGAAAGCCTATTGAAAATCTAAATTCCTAGGCTCTACTTCCAGTGATTTGACTCGGGAAGTCTGGGGTGGGGCCTGGGAATCTGTGTTTGAAACCTGCTTTCCAGGGGATTCTGATACAAGTGACTCTGTTTTTTTTTCATTTCTCATTTTTATTAGGTAGAATTGTTACAGTTTGCACATATACAATGTATTGCATATAAACACATATACACAATATACTGCACATATTTTTAAAATTTACATATATGTACTGTTCATTGTTTCTAAGAACATTTAGAGCTTTAACTTTTTAAACTTACATAGTTACCAAAGGAATAAAGCCAACCACAAAATGAGAATTAATTCAAAAAGATACATACACCCTACTCTTAACAGCAACATTATTTATAATTGCCAAGATATGGAAGCATCGTAAGTGCACATCAATAGATGAATGGATAAAGAGGATGCAGCCTATATATGTTACGGAATACAACTCACCCTTAAGAAAGAAGGATATTTTGCAGCCCTTCATTCACTTTTTTTCCACTTCAAAAACCAGAATTTTATAAGTGGCATAAACATTTCCACTGTATAAAAAAGAACAAAATACCTAGAAATAAACTTAACCAAAGAGGACTCTTGTGGCCACACTTGGAGGCAAACATTCAGCAAGTTCTTGTGTCACCACATGCTCATGACCGTGCCACCACTTCTCGTCCTCCCCATCCTCTGTCTCCTCATTTCTTTGTCATGCCCAGGCAAGTGAAGCTCTGTCTTGCTGGCCTGCATCTCCTCTGACTCCAGGTGCTCCAAATTGAGAAAAATATTCATCTTAAGCTTGTGGAAATAAGTATATAAAATCTTTGAGAACTATGTGACTTTACCTGTGTAAAATAATTAGGTAACTATTTTGCTTCATAGCATTTATATTAGTTGCAATTGGTTATTTATTAAATTATGTGGCAGTAACTCCCCTCAGTGATGGAGCCCAGTTGCATAAAATCAGTCTCAGCATTTAGTTAGCACTTATTTTAGTTGTCTGTAATCAACATTAGTTGGTATATTACCACAGTGGTCATATTGTCTCAAGCAGGGTTTCTCAACCACTAGTGGCATTAGGGACTAGATAAATTATTCATTGCAGTGGACTATTCTGTGTATTTTAGGATGTTGAGCAGCATTCCTTATGACAGCCACGAGTATCTCCTGTATTCAGTACCATCACTCACCCAAGTAGTGACAGTCAAAAATGTTTCCAGGTAGAATAACCCTGGAGGACAGGAATAACCCGATTGAGAACCAATTATATTGGGTTGAATAGTGATTCCTCAAACCATAAGTTCACCAGGAACTGACCTGTAAACATGAACTTACTTAGAAAAAGAGTCTTTACAAATGTAGGTAAGGGTCTCAAGATAAGATAATCTTGGATTTATGTCGGCCATAAATCCAGTGACTGGTGTCTTTATAAAAGAGGCAGAGGAGACTGGAGAGTTACAGAGACTCTGACAGGGAAGTACTAAAGACATAGGCAGAAACTAGCATATGCCGCCAGAAATTAAGGAAATCTTTCAGCTATCAGAAGCCAGAAGAGGCAAGGAAGGATTCTCCCTCTGATGCCTTGAATTTGGACTTCTGGCCCCTAGAATTGTGAGAGAATAAATTTCTGGTTTTAAGTGACCAGGTTTGTGGTTATTTGTGATTGCAGCCGTAAGAAAATAACATACCACTGGTCTCAGGGTGAAGAGATGCTTCAATTCATATTATGTGTACAATTACTTAGCTATAGCTGTTGTTTAATTGCAGATGATAGAAATACAATTTGCACTAGCAGCAGAGGGTATTCATGGGAAGAATATTGAGATACTTGAAATAATCAAATAAGGGCTGATCAGTCAAACTTTGCAAAAGTTAGGGATTCATTTCAGCTTTAGAAAAAATTGAAATAGGTACTTATATATTGCCCACTCTTTTTCTCCTCTATGCATAATGGCATGCCTGACAACGCAGGGACCAAGGCCACCTGTGGTCCTCAAGGTTTATACCTGAAGGGTCCCGCTAGCAATGAGAGTCTCAGTTCTCGGTCCTCAATCTAGTTTTTAAATTCTGGGAAGAGAAAACACTGACTCCACCTTGGTCAGATGCTTATTCCTAGAATAATTAACTATATAGCAGAGGCAGGACATGGTAATATAAAAACTTTGTATTCCTTCATATAACCATATGGATGAGATAGAAGGCTAGTAGTTTCCAGGAGAAAAAAAAAATTCTGGTCATCCAAATCCACAGATACCTACTGTGGTACATAAATCAGCGTGATTAGCTTAAAAGTGTAATTTTCCTATTGATACCATTTTTGGAAAGCATGATGTCAATTTAATACTTCCTCCCACTCTGAACTTAGTCATTTGACCAGATATTTAGATAGGTACAGTGTAGGAAAAAAAACTATTGGGAAATATGAATAGAAGTACCCAATGACTTTTAGTGTCATAGGGGCCCAATAAGTGAAAGAGTAATTGAATCTTCAATAAAGTCCTCAGCTTTGGGACCCAAATAAAGCCTGTAATGAATCATTCAGATGTCCTTTCAAAAGAGATCTATTTCCAACTTGATTAGAATGATCAACTACATTGTCATTGCATCTTGATTGAGATATAAAATAAGGTAAGGAAAAATTTAAATTATCCTCTATTTAGTCCTCTGTTCTTTATTAATCCGTTACATCCAGTCTTTAAAGGCCCTGAATTTCATAGTTTATCAGCTCAAGTACATCAGGTCCTTTCCCAGCCTGTGCTGGCAGTGCAGGTCTTCTGTCTCAATGCCCTGTTGGACTACAGAGATTACTGATACATTTCCTAGGATCAGTCTGTCTAGGGATTTTAAAGGCACCATCCTAAAACAAAGGTGATGACCTCAACACATGGAATTTAGCACTTCATTTGGAGACTAGAAGTGAGACTATAATTGGTAACATCTTGCAATCACTTTCTGCCACAAGGAATATTTTCCATGTAGTAGATTATAACTGAAAAATATCTTTACAAAGTCATGGAAGCTAGCAGATACTCTGAGAGTAAGGGAGCACAGAAAGATATTTTTAAAATATGTTCTTAAGATGGTTTCACAATTGACTTCTCTATTGCATAAAGAGCCCTGGGCTCAATATTCAGTTACTACAGTTACTACAGTGGATTCAGAGACATACTCCTGAATCACAGAGTGGTGGATGCTGTGATTCATGAGTCAGATACCCACTTCAGTGCCCAGGGACTCATTCTTTCAGCTGCTGGGAGTGCTGGCTGCTGACTGCTGACTGTTTGCAGTTAGGTCCCTCCCCAAGATTATGCTTTAAAGGGACCTACCTTGCCCCAGGTTACATCCTCTCCCAAGAGTAGCCTGCAACCTGAATTCATCCTGGATGAGCGGGCCCAAAAGCCCAGCTGCCTTGCCTCTATCTGGGACAACTCCTAAGGGCCATCCCAGTGCTAGAGCTTCTTGTGTGAGGGGTGGACTGAGGCCCCAGTGGCACCTGCATCATGGGTCAGCCTCTCTCTCTGCCCCGTCCTGTTGCTCACTTGCCTACAAGTGTTGTACCCACAAGCACTCCCCAGTTAACCACTGACATGTTCATCTTTGCCTCTGGTTCCTTAAGGACCCCAACCTAAGACAGAAGGTTATATTTAAAATATGGATCTCAGAAGTAGTGGATCTGAAACAAGGGAGAAAATTGTTCTGGCAAGAAGGTTAGTATAGGGCTCCCTTTGAACACACCCTCTAGCCACTTCCTAGCAAACACAAGAGTGAATATTTGAATTTCTGCACAGTCTCTGGTATTCTAAAAGGGAAATGAGCTGAAAAGGAAGGAGGAAAGGAAAGAAGAGGGAGGGGAAGAAAGAAGAAAAAAGCCGAATAAACTCGAAGTGTGCTTTGCAGTTTTATACTTTTGAGAGTTCTTTTTAAGTAATTGCAACAGTTATTTTTAAAGTCTGGTTACCATTCATTGGATACCTATTATACTCTTGCTACTTTACATATGCTATTTCTAAACCAAAAAAAAAAGAAAATACTGGAGCAAGGAAGATAATATTATCAGAGAGGTTAAGAGATTTACCCAAGGGCACAGAGCTAATAAAAGACAAAACAAGAATTTAAAACAACATTTGCCACTAAATCTTGCTGTCTTTTCTCTAAGTAAGGTGCTGCCTCTCTTCATAGTGAGGAACTCAAACCCAGGAGCAAAGTTTGACTTTCTTTTGAAAGATAGCTATTGTATTACTTGGGACTCTTTTCCCAACAAGGGTTGGAGACTCAATTCAAACTAGCTTAGATGATAACATTATGAATGAGGATGGTGAGATGTTTCATGGAACCTAAGAAAAGAATATTACTTGATCTCAGAGAAAAATTGCAACCAAGGACAACACAGCTTTTAGGATTCACTTTCTCTTTGCCACATGTGGAAAACATTATAGCTGACATCTTTGGAACTTTACAGCTCTGAATAGAAAAATCAGCCTATTTCCTTTGTCCCAAGGAGGGGAGAAATATCCCACTTCATTAGTCAGCCCTGAGCCAATCACCCCTGACCTGGGATGAGAATTACAATGTAATATGTTTGTCTTTACTATACCCTATGGATAGAAGCAGCAAGAAGAGAGTAAAGATTTTAGAAAGATGAACAGGGGGCAGGGATGCTAATAATTATCACCATATAGATTCATCATATGTACTCACAACTTACAAGCTCCATAAATTTGTACACTGAACCGCTTTCTATCTCTCAAACATATTACCATACAACTGAGCAATTCAGTGAAAGGTGGCAGGCAGTTTTAGCTTGGAAAGCAGCTCTAAAATTGTACCCTCATCATTACAGAATTTGTATATGTGTGTGTGTGTGTGTGTGTGTGTGTGTGTAATCCAAAGGAAAGGGAGTTGAAAAGATAGAGCAGGAAGTAAAGTATGGTACATCTGAGAAGCTGAAACTTTCCTCACTAAAGCCGGAAATTAATTTCTTCCTGATCATGATGGCTAAAAGAGATTGTACAGAAAGAGTAGGCAGTGAAAAAGCTTAAGATGCATTTTTCTGACAGCATTGTGCATAAAATCCTAAGAGAAATTAAGCAGAGAATGTGTGCTTCCCTTGAAGGTGAATTAATAATCAGATATATACTTTATTAGCATATGCTTCAGAGTGTCTCCCCTCCAGACTGGCTAAAGAGGGGCTCCCCAGAGGAGTCAGGGTTTCTCCCCAAGCCCTACTTGCAGACCTCTTTACACACACACCTTCAAAGTACACAAAAGGACAAAAGGGCCTTTCATTCTATCCTCCCTAGAAAGACTTGAGATTGAAAATGGCTATTTGTTCCCTCTGCGACGTATACATCTGATAATATGCATGGGCATGTATAACTGACTGCCTGCATTATGTATGAATTAGACCCCACTCTTGTTCTTCAGCAGCTGGAGAGATTTTTCTCCTCCAGATGCCCAGCTGCAGTATGGCCCCTCCCCCCACCCCACGTGCCTGTCCCCCACACACACCCATACTGGGGACAATTGCCCTAATTTACCAGAACCTAAGGACCACGATAGCCAGTGCACTGTGTTTTTGAGTCGCTTTTCTTTATTAAAATTTGTTTTCCTTCCATAGTCACTGCTGCCATTTTACTAATGGAACAAAGACTCTGGCCAAACAAGCACCCTAGTAATCACCTCAATTCATTCTCACAACCAAAGGCTTCTAAAAAAACACTGTTTTTTCAAGCTGTTGATTGGGTGATCCCCCTGGGGAAATGCTTGCCACTATTAAAGATGCTTTGAGCCAAGAGAAACTAGGATAAAGGCACTATTGGGTAGTTTTTCTTGTTGCTGTTTCTTTGTTTTCACAATCCATTATCACCAAGTTCCTGATCTCTCTTATTGAAAACAAGATGTTGCAGGGGAAAAAAAAGAGAAAGAAATAAAGAGTTACAACTATGATACCACTTATGTAGGCCTTAAGTTGAAGCACCACCTAAACAATATTGTTTTTAGGATGAAAGCTGCAAAACCTGGACAATTATCTGGCCTTTTGCAAAATATTTTAATAGAATGAATATTAAAACATTTTGGGATTTGAGGATCTGAGTAATTGCCTGAATTTTGCAATTCATTCTGAATGTTTGCCCTTCTACAAAATAGCTTGTATGTCAAAGAAAGAAACATTATATGTTAGAAAATATTATGGGGAGTGATGTAAGTTTGTTTCACTCTATTTAACAGAAGGGAATGTGTTTGTGGGTTTATAAACAACCTAATCTATGGGCTGAAAATATCCTGCCAAAATTGACCCCTGGCTACCTTCCTTCCCCAAGAAAGCCTCCTAGAATAAGTTCCTCTAAAATGTTTCCCAAAAAGAGGAGACTTTTATATAGTCGTCTCCTAAAGATTCAGAGGAAAACATAATAATCTTTGATAAACTTGGCTGCCTAGTTGAAAAAGCTATATGAAGAGTCTAATGGCTGTTTTCTTGCTGAAATGTCCTGTGTAGCAGAGGTCAATCATCCATCCACTTTCTCCATCAGACAGCTCAAAAGAATAAGGGCATAAAGGTAATCTCCTTCCATATCTCAGCAGATTTCTGAGGTCAAAACATTTATGCAGTGAGGTCTCTCAGTACCATTAACCGTGAAAATATCCAATATCAAAATAATTCTGAATTTCAAAACCAATTTGAGTTTTAATCTGAGTATTCAGGGTATTCACCCTTGATATTGATGCATCCAACCATCAGTTCTCCTTAAATTGGTCAAATTGATGAGGTCAGTGACATTCAATAAAAGACTGCAGTGTACTGTCACCATTGTTTGTATGACTTTTTTTCTTTTGCTTTTCTCATTATTCCCTCAGTACGGGACTTTGAGATGGTGGATTGGGATATATTAGAAAACTTGGAGGCTTCTACCTATTATTGCTTAGTGCCTTCCTCCCTCTCAATAGGGTGAGGATGTTGAAAAGGTAAATGGGGAAAGAGAGAGATTCAACATAAGGTGAAGCACGAAATGGCTCTCATTGGCATGGCATTGAGCCAAATCATCCTTGGAGTTAAAAAGACTTGAGTTTTAATTTTTAGCTTTACTAAGTCCTAACAGATTTTTCTCTGAGCTTCATTCCTAAAACAGGGATAACAATATCTTCCTTTTTGAGTATTAAATATGATCTTGGAAGGGAAATACCTAGCATGGTGGTTGGCACATAGTAAACACTCAATAAATGTAAGTTATTCTCTCTACTACTGCCCAGTTCTCTGCTGACACTATCCTGAACCTCAGCCTATTTGTCTCGGGCCCTACATCTAGCTCTTGGGTCTGTACCATATTCTTGTACTTCTAGTTCCAAAGGCACTACTCTAGATGGATTAATCCCACAGAACCATGCTACCATGTTAAGAAATAACCTGATGAACGCTGTCAGATGTCCCCCAATAGCCACATACCCCTTCTTTCTTGCCAGTACAACTACAGTTTTGTTCAGATATTAGATAATGATGTGTTCAAAAGAGACAGAGCATAGGTAAACAGCGAGGTCCTAGTGTAGCACAGGGAACTATATTCAATATCTTGTAATAGCCTATAATGAAAAAAGAATATAAAAAGAAATATATATGTATATAACTGAATCACTATGTTGTACACCAGAAACTAACACAGCATTGTAAATCAACTATACTTTAATTAAAAAAAATTGAACATAAAAGCCCAAGGGCAACAATAAAGTATGGTAATATGGAAGTAGCAGTACATGCCTCTGTGTTCAAGTAAAAGGTAGTTTCCATGACATTTATATATGTAGGAGAATTTCACTCAAGTAATTCATATTACAACTAGCTCATGTAATTCCTGAAAATTTAACAATCAGCTCTCCCAAGCCAGTACAAATCAGCACGAGCAAGTTCAGGCCCATCGTTGAAATTATCCTTGAATAAATAATACCTATTTTTACCATTATATATTGATGCTCCAGACCTTTTCTGTCATGTAATACAAATAATATAATGTATCTCATTTACATAATGCTTTTTGTTTTATAAATCACCTTTTTTATATGTCATCTATTTTAATTAATTCTTACAAGAATCAAAAGAAATAGTTATTATATCACTTTATTAGAAATTAAGATGCTAAAACTTAAATAATTTGCCAAACTTGAACACAGGTCTTTTCTCTCCAGAGTCAGGATTCTTTGGTAGTGCAAAATATTTTACATAGTAGATTCCACCACTTCTACTTGCCATTATAACCCTTTCCTTCCACATTTTCTAATACTGAATGTATAATGCTTTTGAATACAAAGGGATAAAAGGCTGCAATTCATTATATATGTAGTATAAAGATCTCTCTTGGATAACTATGCAAAGGACCAGTTAAATTCACTTACTAGTCTATTTGGGGCCAGCTTCTAATACATTCTCAAGCTCAAAACACATTGTATTTTAAGCCCATGCTTTGAAGAAATTTAGTAATAAAGAGAGTTGTCTGTGGGAGGTCTGTTCCTTGTTGTTTTCAAATAATCATTAAGTGGACATACGGTGAATTGAATTCATACCAACATTTCTGAGCCTATTCAATATTTTTTAAAGTGAACTAAAGGGTAACATTAATTTGTAAGCATTTTCAGAACTCTTACATTGAAATTAAGTTTTACTGATCCCAGTCCTCATCATCTGAATTAAGAGTTGAGTATAAAGAAAATGAACCTTTGCAAAAAGATAGCCAAATCAAACAGGCCAGGTAGAGGGTTTGGGATAATATATGTTGCTCCTAAGTTAAATGCTTTCAATGGTGATCTATCATTAAAAATTACAGTTTTAGCATTGCTTTTCCAGCATTTGTAAATCACAAAGATGACTTATGGAAAACAATTTACTTCAGTGGCTGGGCTCTCCAACTGCCTGTAATTTGATTATAAATTTTAAATATACTTTGTGTGGCAGAGAGTATGTGCTGAGAAAGGAAGGTTAGTAGGGAAGGAGGCAGGGACTATAGTATATCCTTCCTGAGTAACTGAGTAACAAAGGTGAGCATTACCTATTTACATTTACTCCTTCAGCATTTCAAAGCCTATAGATCAAGGGCGAATTTTCACCATCTTGATAACATTAGTTTCAGTAAATACTATTCCCTGTGTGCTCCAGAGGAAAAGATCAAATTACCCCAACAAACCTCAACAGTTGAAAGATTTTAGTAATTTTCCCATCCTATTTCCTCTCTCTCTCTCTCTCAGAGATGGTATAAATTGCTCTTAAGGAGAGTTATCATTGATGAAATTAGGTTATTCTTCAGTAAATGATTATTCAAACCTTTTGGAGACATACCATTCTAGTGTACACAATGGTAGAATCGTCCCTTTTGTGTTTTTGGAGAATAAGGCAGGGCTTCTAAAAAAAAGGCCATGGATTCCAGCCTTTAATGGGCTTTGAAAAATACCAGATTTGAGGGTTGTAACTTGACGCCATTAGGAAAATTCAATAATATTCTTATTTTCCTATTATCATTGAGACATCTGCTGCTTGGGGAGAAATAATGAGATAAAGGTTTCTTTCCTACACATCAGCGCCATTCAGAGATCTCATGGAAAGCTGTTTCTGCAGCAAAGAACAAGTGTAATTCTGCAAGTCAAGGACAGATTGTGTCCTGTGTAACCAGACATACTGACTCCTGCCTGCCTAATATTTAAGTGAAAAGTTGACACTTGGCTCTCTGACACAAGTTCTGACCTGACAAAGCAATATAATCTTCTCAAATAAGGTCAGAATGGCTAGGAAATCTCAGCTATTTACAACTGAGCTGATTTTCAGAGCCAAAGAGCCTGTTTGCTTTATATCAACATACTCCGTCAATCTTCCCTTTATTCTGGAAAGTAAAAAATAAATAAATAAATAAACTTGGGGAAT